CACACACACACACACACACACACACACACACACACACACACACACACCAAAATAAAATGAAACAAATAAAACCTGTCTTAAAAAAACAAACAAAAAAAATGTAAAAAGGACAAATAATAGAACATTGAAATAAAATTATTTTAATTATAAAAGATTTTAGGTTTGGGCTGTTGGATTTCTTGTGCATAAAAAAAATTATCTGTTGCGATCTATGCACCCACATGACAGCTCACATCCTCCAACTCCAGTTTCAAGGCTATGATGCCCTTGTTCTGACCTCCGTGGGCATGAGACATACATGTGGCGTGTGGGCATACACAGAGTCAAACCACTCATTCATATAGAATAAAAAAAGTAAACTTAAAAGTAGTCTTGACTTTAGCATAAAAGGGTGTATTAGAACACTTATAAAAAGCAGCGCTTTGTTGGTGAGAGTGAAAACTCTTGGGTAGAACATAGCAGAACCAAAGGAACGCTCTCCCGGTACCTAGGTATCCTCCAAATCCTGACATCACTATTCTCCTTGAAGAAACAGAACTCTTTGGTTACCAACTCCTGCCCTGAGAGGTGTCAAAGACGGAGGTTCAGGGAGACTCACAAAAAACACCACACATGTGGTGCCACTTGGCACCTACTTAGAAAAAGGGCAGAGATAGGACACGCTGGGTCAGCAGAGGGCACGGAAGAGTGCGGAGACTCAAAAGCGTGACAACTCTACTTACGCTCAGCAGTTGCTCAAATGGCTTTCAGGATGCAGAGCTTGCTTCGTGGATGTAAAGATTGTATTTTGAGTTTGCCTGTGATCCTACCTTGCTGCAGGCAGACACAGGAGGGCCAGCCTGGTCTACCTAGAGGGTTCTGGGGGTGAGCTATATAGCATGACCCTGTCTCAGAAAAAAACATGTAATCTACAAGTAAAAATTATGTTTATCAGTAGTGAATGACACCAATGTTTGTATATGTGTGTCCATGCATGTGTAACAGAATGAGTGAATCCAAGTACTTAACAAAAGCATTACACCTCACCTCAGATAAAGGTCATTTAAAATCTCCCTCAGCAGTTTTCAAGTACAATAGTTTTGCTTTCTGAGATTCCATCCTGAACTGACAACAATGCTACATAAAATACTAAATACAGCTCTACACCTTTAATCCCAGCACTCGAGAGGCAGAGACAGGTGACTCACTGAGTACAAGGCCAGCCTGTTACAGGATGGCCAGGGCTACACAGAGAAACCCTGTCTCAAAATAATAATAACTATGATCATGATGATAAATAGAAAATTCCAGAAACAAAAAATTTTAGAATGTTAAATAACTTTAGTTATAGTAATTTGACTTGTTCTACACTTTCATTATTATTGCTAATCTCTTTTCACGAATTATTTATTTTTACATGTGTGTGGTGTTTTGCCCGTGTGTGTCTGTGCCATGTACCTGCAATGTGTTCCTGGTGCTGTGGAGGCCAGGAGATGATTCTTTATCCTGGGACGTGAGTTACAGATGGTTGAGAACCCCCATGTGGGTGCGAGGCCTTAAACCCTGGTCCTCTGCAAGAGTGGCCAGTGCTCCTAACCACTGAGCCATCACTCCAGCCCCCTGTTGTTAATTAACTGTGCTTAATTTTAACTTAAACCTTATCATAGGTAGGTGTGAACGCGTAAAACAGTGTAAGCCAGGCTTGGTGTCTGCTCCTGTTGGGAGCACAGGTGCCTGTCTTGCCACCTATGGTCTGTGAAGGAGGTGGTACTACAGCATGGTCATGGAGATCTTTCTGTGGCCATGATGTAACGAATACCTCCGGTTCTCAGGTTTACAGTTCTAATGGGGGGGTGTGATGTGCCTGTGACTATTAGAGTAGGACATCAGGGGGCAGCTGGAGAGCAGATATGGAGAATGAGGGGCAGGGGCTCCTAAACAGAGCACTGAGCATCACTGGCCATGGGTGTAGAAGGAACCAACAGAGGGCATAGAACACCGAACTCAGGCAATGTGTCAAGATGAAAGAAAATGTGGTTACTTTCCTAGCTGTCTGCACTAAAACTGTCAATAACTTTAGGAGTTCTCTTTCTCTCTCTGTCTCTTTCTTTCAAGATTTATTTAGTTATTATGTATGTAGTGTTCTGTCTGCATGTATACCTGCACGCCAGAAGAGGGCACCTGATCTCATTATAGATGGTTGTGAGCTGCCATGTGGTTGCTGGGAATTGAACTCAGGACCTCTGGAAGACCAGACAGTGCTTTTAAGCTCTGAGTTATTTCTCTAGCCCCCAAGAGTACTCCTTAAATAAGAGCATTCAAATCTGAATTATAAACTTAATATTATCGTTGTTTTTTTATTTAATTCCAATTTTAATTAGTCTGACTTAGCTGTCTTTTCTCATTTCCTAGTGTAATAGTTAATAATTTTTTCTTCTGCTGTAAGTGACTCTGACTTGCTATTTCTTTTTCTTTTTTTCTTAATTAGACTTATTTGAATCAAGCCCAGGTCCTCTGCAAGAGCAGCCAGCACTCTTCAGCAATGATCCATCTCTCCAGGCCTGTTGCTGACTGTTTCTTAATTATCAGTTAAATATCCATCACACCTGGACACAGCCCAGGCTGCTAAACTAAGAAAACACGAAACAAAAACCATTTCCTTACACTTGCAGAGATCAGCACCACCTTGTGGTTTACTGTGCTATTGCCTTTCTGGCTCTCTTCTCCCCAGTTTCCCAGCTCTCTCGCTGAACTCTCTCCAGCTTTGTTACAAAGTAACCTGGTAAGGGTACAGTGTTGATTATTCTACTGAGAAACAATGCTTACACAACCTGGTTGGTAACTTTCATTTAGACAAAGTGGAACTACAAACACACTGTAAGTATGCAAGGGGACAAGGTGTTCTGTGCTTCTTGCACTGGTTAACACTTGGCGTTAACCAGTGACCCACAGGCACTCTGACAGCAATATACACTCACTTGTCACAGGACAGTTGACCATATGGGGACGAAAGCTTTGAACCTGGACTGATTCCACTGCTGCTGCTAGAGATCTGTATCCTTGTGTTAATGCTACAGGGATGGTTGACAGGCCCACAGGGAAGGAAGAAATGGCCTTGCCCTCCTATATTGAATGTGTCTCAAACAAACTAACAGAGAGAGAGGCAAACACCTCACTCTGTGCCCTGGAAGGCCTGTAACCCACTACATACACAAAGTTGGTCTAGAGTTGAGAATGGTAGAGGCAGGAGGATCTCTGTGAGTTCAAGACCAGCCTGGTCTACATAGTGAGTCCCAGGACAGCCATGGCTACATAGCGAGATATCATTAAAAACAATTACAACAACTACAACAAAACCAGACTAAACAAACAAACAAAAACAAAGAAGGCCTAGAAATTGTGGGAAACTTTCCTTGCTTTTATGGTCTTGTAGACCAAATGTGTCGCCCACAGCAATTTTGGTGAAAATTTAGTTCAGACCAAGGAAAATGGCTTATGAGTAGAAATTAAATACTTGTTTCTCCTAAAACCTGGACAAATTTAGGATATGCTTTTTTATTTTTATTTTTTAAGACAGGGCCTCAGGCATCCCAGACTGGCCTGAAGCTCACTCTGCAGCTGAGGATGCTTTGAAGGTGAGACCACCATGTCCTGCTGGGGTGAAGCTAGAGAGCAGACCTGGGGCTCCGTGCTAGCCAAAGCACTCTGCATTTTAACTGAGCTATGTTCCTAGTCCTTTGTCAGCAAAAATCATCATGAACTAATTACCCAAATTTTAGGAAAGAACCATTTTTAGGGTGCTGCAAAGAGGTGTCACCTATTATGCAAAATAAGTGCTGATGTACCATGAACATGTTCTTTACAAAGACATAAAAGTAAGGCCAACACTGAACTTACCATAGCTGGGCAAAATGCATAGGTTGAGTGGTATCAGCAGCAGAACTATACACCCCAGAAGAATAAAAGGCACCTCGTAGCCAAAGGACTCATACAAAAAGCCACCTAAAGGGGGGCCTGCTATCAGCCCCAGTCCAGAAAAAAACTCAAGACTTCCCTGAAAGCGAAAAACAAAAGAGAATGTGGTTAACATTTTTTAGTTGAAGAATTATGAGTGTCGGGCATAGTGACACACGCCTCTAATTTCAGCGCTTGGGGTGCAGAGGCAGCTAGACCTCTACAAGTTCCAAGTCAGCCAGGGCGACACATTAAGATCCTATCTCAAAAGGCCTGGCACTGTAAACCTAGCTAACCTACCTGTGACCGGTGAGGTCATGGACACCAGAATAGACCCTAGTAACTGCCAGTTTCCTAAACCAGTGTAATTTGTAACCATATCTGAAATATTTACCCTTATAGCCACAGGTGCGTGCAGCACCCACTCTTCACTGATGAAGCTTTCTTTTGCAGCTGATGCAGACCGTTACAGAAATCTACAACTGGCCACTGGGTGTTCAACGCCAGCTGATATATACACACTACAACATGGATGCCCATGTCTCGGGGAACAGCAGGGAGTGAGGCGCAGAAAGATGGCCAGAGTGTTCTGTACACACGACTGCAAAGGTGCAGCCACGAAACCCCAACAATACAGTTGCCTAAACCAGACCAGCACAGTGACCACACTGTCTGACATGCCACGCGGATGGGGGAAGTTTCACAGAGCTTCGTCCCCAGATGAGGCGCTACAGGCAGCCAGCGGCTCCTAAGAAAGGAGAATCAGTTTTCTCCAGGGTGAGCCCACCGCTGCTTACCCAAGCCAAGCGGTCAGTGCTGAACACATATACATGTAAGCAACTCTAGAAGAACTTGGTTGGGGCTATATTCACACACACACACACACACACACACACACACACACACACACACACATACACACACACACACAGAGTAATTAAAGAGGAGAAGGGGTGGAAATTATATAAATATCGTACGCATGTATTAAATTCTCAAAAAACTTTAAATTAAAACGGAATCATGAGAGCATTACTTGAAAAATGTCAGTTCACAATTTAGACACATACACACAGGTGTTTGTTTACACACTGGTTGTTTGTTTATTCACTGAGGTGGTAGCACTGCTTGCAATGTCAATCGAGGTGCGACAGTGGGCACCTGTGATCTCAGCACCCAGGAGAAGGAGATGCAGGCAGCAAAATTAGGAGTTCAAGCTCAACTTTTGAGAGTTCTAGCCAGCCTGAGCTACGTAAGACCCTGTTCTAGACAAAATGAACAAAAAGATGCAAATTATTTAAATACTTATTAATATTTCAATTAACTAGGTGATACCTATACAGTGGGAATGTACACAGAAAAGAAAGAATAAGGATGTTTTTTACGTATAAATACATACAGGAGATATCCAGTGTGGATCTGTCAGCACAACCAGCAAGAAGTTAAGCAGTGTGAAAAGCATGTCATCACACGTGTAAAGAAAAGAAGGAAAGAGAATCATGCTGCTATTCCATGTGCACGTGGACAAGTGTGTGTATGTATGTGTGTGTAAGCACAGATATGGAGTCTCTGGAAGAAGCCTGAAATACCATCTTTCCTCTTGGAGCAGCGTGGGCACCGAGTTGCTGGATGGCACATGGGTGCATGAAGTCACAACAGTAACAGCATGTGTCAAACACTTGCTATATTCTGTGTTCCACTTTATGACTAGTGAGCTTTATTCTGCACAAAATTAACTACAGCTAAAATTCACAAGGAAGTCCTGTGGAAAAGAAGCTTACTGTTGAGAAAATTGTAGCATTCTAAATCAATCTAGTTTTCAGGGCCTTTAAGGACACCTATGGCTCATAGTCTCACAGTCACGATCTGAGGGGTATGTGCATGATAACTAACGTGTGGAATATGTTGGCTCTGGCTGCGACTTCATGTGGAAAACTGGGAGGGCATGTCTACTTTCCCCTGCCAATCCCACATGCCAGTGCATGGCTGCCAGCATTCTAGGAATTTCCTGCACGGCACTTTCCCAGAGTGTTTTGAAGAACACCAGCTCTTTAACAGGTCAACAAGTCTGATGTGGAAAAGCTGGCCCACGGGCAAACTGACGCATGCGCTAGTCAGAGAAATCAAGATTGGACAGCTCTTCTCAGACAAGACACAAGTGCTCTGAGCACTTGAGGACGACCTGAAACCTCTTCCACGAATCTGGGGCACGTAGAGCAAAGACTCTCAAGAGCTAAAGTGTTTGCCATGAGGGATAAAGTCTAGAGTGCAGGAAAGCTGCCACGGGCAGCTCTGCCAGGACCTACCCACAAGCTCACAAGGAAACAGAAAAAAACTCAGCAACTCAGGAGATTTAAAAAAACAAACACAAGAGAAAGGAGGGGTAACAGGGTAAGAAAGGGAGGTTAGCGGGATGGCTCAGCAGTTAAGATCACAGGCTCTTGCAGAAGACCTGGGCTTCTTTCCCAGCACCCATACGGCAGCTCACAACCATCATAATTCCAGTTCCAGGGGATCTGACCTCCGTGGCCCCAGGCACATATGTGGCGTATATGCGTGCATGCAGCAAAGCACTCATACAGATAAAAAAGAAAACAAGTAAATAGTTTAAGATTATTTTAAGAGTGCTTTGGGGCCACATTTACCCATCAAAGTGCCTCTGCGAGGACCAGGAAGAGCACCTGACCCTAGAGCTCACCAAAGTTTTGTGGTTTTTCTTTGGATACAGGGTCTCACTGTGTAGCACTGGCTGGCCTGGCACCTGCTGTGTGGGCCAGTCTGGTCTAAGACTCACGGAGATTGTCCTGCTTCTGCCTCCTGAGCGCTGGGATGAAAGGCGTGCACCACCATTCCAGGCTCCCCCTCTTTTCCAATCCTCCCCTCCCCTGGCAGAACTGTCACAGATGATCTTCATTTCTTTGTTTTTGTTTCGCAGACAGTCACTCACTGGGTCACGCATGCAGGCCTCAAACTTTTGATGTTCCAGCCTTCACTTCCCAAGTGCTTTTTAATTTTTTTTTTTCACATGCTGTAAAAACTAGAAGTCACAAAACAGTGGGAGGAACATAAGAAAGTGGGGAGAAAGAAAAGATCAAACAAATGTTTGGCCACATAAGAAAAAAGAATAAGTTCAAATTACATACCATGACTGTAGCCACATTATTTGGGAAAGCCTTTGCAAGGATGGAAGATGATGCCGTTATGGCTGCACCAAAGCCTATGGCATCAACTATTCTCACCAGGAAACACATGACAATAAATATGGGTCCTTTTGGAAGTTGATCCAAGACACTGAAAAAGAATATGACAATTATCAAATGTCAAACTGGTTTTAGTTTTTAAATTCACTCTACTCCCTGAGGAGAACCATACTTTCCAATGTTATTAGATAAAATCTCTTTAGGAATTTTCTAGAAAGTTGATTTGTCAGCTGAGGGGTGGTGGCACACACCTTTTAACCCAGCACGTGGGAGGCAGAGGCAGGCGGACCTCTGTGAGTTCCATGACAGCCAGTGCTATACAGAGAAAACCTGGAAGGGTGGGGTGGGTAGGGGATGGGGGTGGGGTTGGCTTGTCTCAGAGAACTGCTGTGACATGTCATGCAAGGTTATCTGTCCGTTTCTGTTGGTGTAACTGGTTTCTGAGACTATAATTCTAAAGAGGCCCCTGTAGTGGATGTTTGGGTGTCTTTAAAAACTCAGTTAGGTTATGTGAACATGTTTTTGTTTTAATCCCAAGTATGGACTATGGGACTGCCTTAGTTTGTCCACAGCTGACAATTGCCTGGTGCGGGCTGTAGTCTTTGCCAGCTGGTAACTTCTTATGAGGGCTCGGAGGGGCATGGTGTTTGCCAGCTGCAGACAGTGGAAATCTGAGGACTCTGAGAGGGTATAAATATGTGCACCCAGAGAGGGGCTTGAAGGAGACAGATGAAGGAAGAGGGCTGCTTGTTCACTCTGCTGCTGCCATTTGCCGCGGCTGGACTGCTGGATATCCTGACATCAGAGGCTGGTATTTTCCCAAAGAACCCAAAGACCCTAGCCAGCTGGAACTAAAGTCTAAGGAGGTCTATGTTCCCCTCCCTTCTAACTTTCTTACTCTCCTACCTAGGGTTGGGAGATTGGAAGGAAGGTAGAGGATCAAGAAATCCCAAATAGAGTTTAAAAACACTACAGGCCTTTTTGGAATACTGTGATCCCCTGGACCCATAAAAGACTATAATGGCAGGACCTACTTAGGGTATCAAAATCAGAGGATGCTGAAGTCCCTGACATAAACCATATTGTCTGCTATAACTGATGCTCATCTTTCCAAATGCATCTCTAATTTTAGTTTACTTACTTATTTATCATGGTGCTGTGTTGAACCGAAGGCCTCACCCACAGTAGGCAAGTATTCTTGCAGAGCTATGCTTACAGCACGTAAGCTGCTTCCTGGAGACTTTTAACAGCTGGGGTAATGTAAATGCTATATAAATAGTTCCGATACTTGCTATTAGGGATAATGACATAAAAAAGCAAGGATTTTAATCTCAGCTTTTAGAGGCAGAGGCGAACAGATCTCTGTGAGTTCCAGGCCAGCCAGGTCTACATAGTTCCAGACCACCCAGGGCTTCATAGTGACACCCCATCTCCAACAAAGCAACAAAAAAAGGGGGGTTGGGGAGCCTGTCTAGGAAAACTACACAAGAAAAAGAGAGAAAAGCAGGAGGCTAAGGAAGATTTCTGATGATGCTGTTTCAGCTCCTGTAGCCAGGTGTCTTTGAGCTGATTCTCTAAGAAACAGCTTCTCTTTTCTGTTTAAGCAAAAAGTTTCTATGACTCAGGAGACTATTAAGTTCCCACAATGATCAGCCACAAAGTCCCTGTGGAGGAATTCACGAGCCACAGTTCGGTTTTCTCTATCATGGCTCTGAGACAGGGTCTTCCTGTATAGCCCAGGCTAGCCTTGAATTCCAGGCCCTCCCCCATTGCCTCCCAAGTGCTAGAATCACAGGTGTTAAGCATTGTATCAGCTTCAGCAGGCGACAGTAGCGGATCTTGAAGGACACTGTTCTTAAGATCAACAATGTTTCCATTTGTTTCCTACCCACCTCCCTCCACCACTGGTCACATGTCAAGCATCTGACAATGTATACTGATTGGTGCTGATTGGTTTAAAGAGCCAGTAATGGGACTGTCAAATGGCTCAATGGGTATGAGGCGTGCAGGCCAAACCTGGCAACCTGAGTTCAGGACCTGGAATCAACGTTAGATGGAGTGAAAGAAATGAGGCCACAGTGCTGTCCTCTGCCATCCCGCATGCACAGCACCCGCCATCATACACGTGGGAACAGTAACATTTTAAGAAAGCTTATAAAGCCACTAACATTTTTAGGGGGTACACTATGAGATCCATCCTTGTTCCCAAACCTATTAGAAGGTTACTTACCCAAAGAGAATGATAACCCCTCCTGAGATAAACATGCCTGATATAAGCATAAATTTGGCTCCAATGTGTACAACCTATAATAAAAGTCAAAGAAGAGCAATAAATGGATTTCTTCAACAAGTCTACCTTAATAAACCCATTATACTAGGTCATATAAAATTGCAGGGAAGCATGCATAGTTAATATCATATTAAATAATTATTTAAAAGAATTGTAACACACAGTTTGTAAGCATGGGAGGGACTAACTAAGCAACCACAGGATAGAATTATGGCATAATTTATAAAGATGTTTCTGTATAGACAGAAATTCTGGATTAGTAAGATATGGCAACTCACTCCACAATTTTTGAAAACTAAAATATGTGTGTGTGTGTGTGTGTGTGTGTGTGTGTGTGTGTGCCAATACTTACATATTTTCCAAACACCAAAGATGCCAGCAATTCAAATAACGCATAGCATCCAAAGATCATCCCGATCATGGTGTTGCTGGCCCCCTTCTTTTCTGCCTTAGAAGAAACAGAAACAGGAACAAAATTTGAAAGACAAAAAAAAAAAAAAAAAAAAAGAGCATTGGGTGGGAAGCCAGGAGGATGAAGTCAGAGCGTCGCCTTACAAGGTTCATATATGTATAGTAATTTCCAAGATGTGCAGGGGCATTACAGTGCACATTTAGCGGACATCCGTCTTATAAAAATTAACTTACCAAGCAGCAGGCGCCTTGTGACATTTCCATACATTCTTAGTTTTGGTTGGACCTGCTCCTACCCTACCTCCCTGTTCAAACATTCCCATTTCTGTTATTTTTTAAATTATTTTAAAATAAGTAAGGTAAGTGAAGACATGAAAGTAGATGGTAAAATCTAGACCCCAATGTGAAAACAACCCATTTAATATGCCTATAAAGAATTCCCAAGCCAGCCTTGGTGGTGCACGCCTGTAATCCCAGCACTCAGGAGGCAGAGGCAGGCAGATCTCTGTGAGTTCAAGGCCAGCCTGATCTACAAAACAGGCCCAGAATAGCCGAGGCTCCACAGAGAACCCACCCCACGGTCCACATTCTTCTGAAAAAGAGGGTAGTTTCCCCTCCGCATGTTGGGGTTATTAATGTTTACGGCCTGTTCCACCAGGGACCTTGCTACAGATGAAGTAGCACTCATCCTGAATCTACTTTGTGTATATGCCTGAGCGTATGTTCTGTGCACACAAGTGTGAGGGAATCTGTGGAGGCATGGGTTCCCTGGGACTGGAGTTACAAGCAGTTGTGAGCCACTGTGTGGGTGCTGGTGAGAGACCAAAGAGTTAAAAATTAGTTTTTTGGGGTTATTGGATTAAAGTTTAAAGCACAAGCCTCCCCAAAGGCCAGACATAGAGACATGTGTGGCCACCTATGGGGAGGAACTAGCCTTAGTGCATTCTTTCCTGCCCACTAGACATACGGTTACTAGGAAACTGGCCCAGATCACTCCTCTTCCCTAGCAACAGCCAAACAAAGGAAGCCAGACCCTTAGTGGTTTTGGCACCTTCCCACAGCCAATCAGTTTAAAATGCAACATTCCTTTTTGTGTTTCAACCAATAGACGCTTGCCAGACTGGAATTCCCCTACTTTGGGCACACTAGGAGGGACCGGGACCTATAAATCACCCTCCTCCCCCTGAGCTTGGGGCTCTACTTTCAACCATTCCCTAGGTGATTGTGTGGGCCCATGCTTGGTCTTGTAATAAAAAGACCCTACTGCATTTGCACTGGAATCAGCTCCTCGGTCTACAAGTCTCTTGCGGTCCATGAGACTTGGGCATAACTCTGAGAACTAAACTCATGTCTGTTGCAAGAGCAGCAAGTGCTCTTAACCACCGAGCCATACTGTGCAAGTTTGGCTGATCTGTGAGCCCCAGTGAGGCCAGAGACATAGCCCTGTGCTACCATCTCTGGCAGCCCGAGTTCTTTTCCGAGACCTCTACTCAGCTCAAGCTGAGAATCTTTTCTGTTTCGTTATATTTTTTTTATGGATTTTTGAGGCAGGGTCTCAGGTAGCCCAGGCTGGCCTAAGACCTGCTACATAGCTGAGGCTGGCTTGGAATTCCTCTTGATCCTTCTGCCTCGGCCTCCTGAGGATGTGAGGCATGTACCGCTATACCTGTTTGCGTGATGCTTGGATTCAGAGATGGGGCTTTAGGCTAGATTCCTGCAACAACTCAGCTGCACCCCCAGCCCCAAGCCTTAGGTTTGCTGCGGAGAGAGAATTTCAAGTCAAGTCAATGCGAAGCAATGCTGAACAACCCTTTCACATGGGGTCACATATCAGATATCCTGCATATCCAATAATTACATTGCGATCTATAACAGTGGCAAAATTACAGTTATGAAGTAACAACAAAAATAATTTATGGTTCGGGGGTGACTACAACATGAGGAACTGTATTAAAAGGCTGCAGAATTAGGAAAATTGCATTAAAGGTTCCCAGCACTATTATTTCACCAAACCCAAATCTGACCAACCACTCTGATGGCCTCCCAGCGGCCAGGTCCTGGGCGTGCATTCCAGTGTTCTTGCATTCCAGCTGCATCTAGCCCTCAGATCCCCAGCCTTCCAGGAAGGTTTCCCGCTGCCCTGAATTTAAACCACAGTGAACTGTCTCCTGTTCCCTAAGAATGCGCCATTCACTCTGCTCTTCCCCTCACCACATCTGCAAGGATGAGGTCCTCTGTCATTTACCAGAGAAAACTACAGCTTCTCATGCCACACCTCCCTTAGACTTCACCTGAAAAGTGTCACGCCTTTCTCCTTGGCTTTAACTTTCCCAGGTGTTAACCCTTCCTCTCTCTTGAGTATCATCACTCCTGGCCACCTTTTCCTTAAAGAATGCCCAAGTCTGAAGCAATGATCCTTCATCTTTCCTTCCTTCTGTTTCTCAGATTTTTGCTTCTAAATGAACACTCCGGACAAGGGCGCTTCCTGACTTCTCTTTACCTGAGCATATCTACAGCTCAGGGTGCTGAGTGGAAACTTGAACTTCCATGGAACTGGACTGAACTGGGAAGGCCCTTCACGTCTGAGACCGCCATTTTAAAGTCACACAATGGGATCCTCCATATTCTCTCTCCTTTTGGGATTGTTGTAGGCACCAATGGATACAACAGTGGCAGCGTGTGTGGAAAACCAGTGAGAGCTATAGAGATACAGAGCTGCATTGTTCCTCTAGCAGAAAAGCCTCTCTGGTTGCACCCAGAATGGAGGAACACATGCTATTGAGAACTAAGAAGTTGTCAGTGCACTGTGGACCTAAAACTTTGGCAAGATGCACAAAATAAACATTCGGATGTATTGTCTGAACTTGCCCAAACTAGTTCCCTTCAACCCATACTACATGCATGGGACTTCATACTCCAGTTTAACCTTTGTGTCACTGGCGACAGTTCCTAATCCCATGTAAAGGGCAAAGGTTAGAGGGAGCCTGGAACGTTAATCAGAGTCCTTCCCTTGGGCAAATATTGCTTCTGGAGTGCCTAAGAAATTCAGATTGAATTTCCTGGGCCACAGCTACCTCCCCACCCTACCCCGACTTAGGAGACAAAGTCTCACTTTACCTGCCCTGGCTGCCTGGGATTCACTCATAGAGCAGGCTGGCCTCAAACCTCCTAGAATGAGCCTGCTTGCCTCCACCTCCCGTGGGCTCTGATTAAAGTCATGAGCCACCACGCTTAGCTACACCTACCTAATTCTCTAACACGTCTATAAACCCAGTGCCTAAAGACAGCATCCGTATCTTGGTATCTTGGTCATTTGGTAAATCTCCCTTTTTTCAGCTATCGACTCCAAATAAAGATTAATCAAACTACATGGCAGAAGAACCATATTTTAGGAGAATTACCCAGCAAAAGAATGGTCTCTGCCCCCCTCCCCCTGATGTTAAACATTAAGAAATATTCTCTCGGGGGTGTGGGAGTGACTCAGTAGGTAATGTGCTTGTTGCGTAGTAGGATGGCCTGAGTTTAACCCCCAGCACCCACACACGAAACTGAGCTTATGGGTACCCATCTGTAGTACTAGCACTGGGAGGTGGAGACAGGGGCTGGCTGGTCAGCCAGTCTAGCTGAACTGGTGAGCTCCAGGTACAGTGAGAGAGCATGTCTTGATGAAGATGGCTGACAGTGACCTCTGGCCTCTGTGTACACATGGCTAATGGCCCTCCCCCCACCCAGCACACACAGTATACAATTGTGATATACCACGAGCATATTTTCTATACTGCAAGCACGTTTTTAGATTTTATTCATTTTTTAAGATTTTTTTTTTAAACTCGACTGAACAAGCAGAGTATCTGGACAAGCAGGACACACACTTAACTGATGAGCCGCCTTCCCCCCCACCCCCATGTTCTTATGTTTTACATCCTCTAAAATTATGTATCTAAAAGGCTTCAGAAAAATTAGAGTTCATACAGGTATAAAAACGTTTTACCTCCTTAGGGAAAAACGGTCCAAGGATGGAATAGGCCATCATGCACCCCAAGTTCATGGAAGCTGCTGACACCAGAACAAAAATCTGCTCTCTTGAAAGCCTGGATGATGTCTCTCCTGTACTTCCTCCAGAGCCATCACCTTGAAATAAAAAACATACTGCTATTACAGGAGTGCACTTGGGATTCTGGGTAAACACACACATGGCATTTTACATGGAGTTAGTAGGCTCTGAGGACAATTGCTGAGCAAAATGGCCATTCTAAATATAGCAGTAATGAACAAACAGAAAACAAACCTTGGATAGCACTGCAAACTTGAAACAGTGTTTTCATACAGAGACCCTTCTATCAGAATTTCAGCACAGCAAACACTAAGCCATGTGAGCTACCTTTCCTTACAATGAGGCAGCCCCAGCTGGTTGTACTTTCAGAAATCCTTTCAATGATGAGCACCAGGGTGCTTTGCCAGGAGCATCAGGCTCTAAAGAAAGACATCTCATTTTCTCAAGGTACTAGCTTGGTGTGCCACACAAACTCAACCCTGGAGTAAATGTTTAAATAGGTAATGATAGTTCTTTCCCAGAGTAACCTGGTAGTCCTAGCTCTTTATCATCTCTTTGGTTGGTGAACTTAACTTTCTGGAAAGACAAGTCTCACAGATATGTAAATCAAACCGTTTTCAACACTAGTTAGTGGTGTTTTAAATAATCTCATTCAGCACCCCCCTTGCAGGTTTAAACTATCAAAGAACCAAACAATCACCCAGTTTCAAATGTCCTAGCTGATTCCTCAGCCACTGTTAGATTAAATAATTCTGAGGAGGAGGAGGAGCAGGAGGAGGAGATGCATTTGATTTGCTTTTACAGAGGTGGCCACTATAGGCCAGGAGGAAAAATCTAAGCAACATAGGGAAGTTTTAAGAATCCTTTAAAAGTTGAAAGATACCGGGTTTCTTCTGTACAACCTTAATATGAGGGGAAGTGCCCAGTCTTACTGCAACTTGATATGCCAAACGTGTCGTTGATATCAAACCTTTGGTTAGAATAGGATCAGAGGAATAGAATAGAAACAGAGGCTAGAGGACGAGTGGAAGGGAGGAAGGCAGAGAAGAGGAGGAGGGGAGAGGAAGGAGGGAAAATTGCTCTCGGGGTGTAAAAATAAATAAATAAAAATTATACATATATGCCGGAGTTGAAGAAGGGAAATAAGAGAAAGTTAGAAGTAAGGAGCACGCCAGCGAGAACACTTTAGGCCTGATGGTGTGGTGTCGTTAATTTGAAAGCAAGCTGAAACCCCCTACTTAAAGAACAGAGATTTGGGAAGTACCAAATGCTGTCCCCAAAGCGGAGAAAAGAAATGCTGACTTGGACCCCACGGTCAGAGGTCAGATCAGCCCCCACCCCGCTTGAAGGTCTCAGGACAAAAATAATAATAAACCCTCAAAAACAAGAAGACAAAGCTAAGCCTACTATATCCTAGTTAAAGAGACAGGCCCGAAGCCCGAGGCTAGCGGCAGCGCGAGCACGCGGATCAGGTCACCTCCAGCGCCCGCAGGAGCCGGCGAGCCCGCCGCGTCCATGAGCCGCTGCTCCGCCTCCTGCCGGCGGCACCGGGCTCAGCCTCCGCGCGCGGGATGCGGTGGCAGCGAGCGATCTGCAGGGCCCGGGCCCGGCGTACCCGTCTAGACGCGGAGACCCGAGCCGGCTGCGAGGAAACCTCCCAGATCCCAGTAAACCGCACCCACGGGAGCCAGGGCGGGCAGGGGCGGAGCTGGGGTCCCCGCCCTCCGGTCCGCGGCTGGGCCCCGCGTGTGCTCCTCACAGAGCGTAGACCCGAGAACTGGGCTCGTGCCTAAAGGGTGGGAATGACAGCGTGTGTGTGTGTGATGACTGCAGGGCAGGCACTTAAGGGACGGAAGTGAACAAAACTGCGTGTAACACCTGCAGGAAAATACTTGAAAGAGGGGGAAGGAGCGCCGGGAAGGCTGGCCGTGGACACTTTCCGTGGATGCAGGTGTGTGCGTTGCAAACCGTTCGCTCGCTTGCTGTGTCTTTGGATGATAAGGTCTGTCCTGTTGCTGTTGTTTTCTATACCCACAACTGGGGTTGCAAGGCTTGTATGACCTAATCAGTCCGGCTGTGCGCCTTAGTGATGAGCTGCAGGGGCCGCCTTTCTCCAAAGGATCCCTGCACTCGCCCAAGCTTTCGTTTTGTTTTCTCCTTGCTTATTATTGGGGAAAGCTTAAGTCTGAGACTCTGGGCCCAGGCGAAGGACTGAGCCCCACTCCTGAAGTCGATGTGATTCTAACACGAATAAAACTCTTGCACGGCTGCTCACTGGTAGCGTGCTGACCTGTAGGGACCAGCAGATGTGACAGATATTTTACTGTAATGAGTCGCTGGGAAAGGGCTGAGTCTGGCACGGGCCTTGGGGTGGAGGCTCACTGTGGATCGTGAAGATTATATAGAAATTCCAGGCGGGCTAGAAGTGGATGGGGCCGTGGAAAACACTCCAAATGCCAGGCAGGCTTTGTTGGTATTTAGTTCAAAATGAGGCCGCGCACACAACAGAAATGATACGAAAGAAATTTATAGGATGGAGATAGAGAGGAAAAGGAAATGAGAGAGAGAGAGATGGTAGGGGCCCCAGGAAAGAGAGGCGGAGAGAGCAAGACAGGTGACTAAGAAGCAGAGGCACGGATTGGGGCCTTTTATAGCTTGTGCATGCGCAGCTGAACCGCAGCGCCCACACACCTGGTCGGCGACGCGTGATGACGTCACAGGTTACTAGGCAACCCAGAAGCAGGCTGCCCATATGCTAACAGGCTTAGCTAGAGCAACGGTTCTCTGAGGCAATTCATGGAGTCTCTAGGCTCTAACCTCTTAAACTTCAATCTCATTTCAAACCTTTTCACAAGAATTTCTTAAAAAATTTGTGTATGTCTGTGCAGGTTCCGAAGGAGCCTTTTGGATTTCCTGGAGGTGGACGTTAAAGGTGGTCATGAGCCAGGGTGCCCGGACCTGGACCTGAGTCCTTTGGAAGAGCAGTAAGTGCTCTTAACCACTGGGCCACCTCATCAGTACCCTCTGCCATTTAACTGTGTCATCATTGCGACCTAAGCTCAACCCGCAGATATTCTACCAATTATTTCCTTTACATCTTATTTTTTCTTTCTTTCTTTCTTTCTTTCTTTCTTTCTTTCTTTCTTTCTTTCTTTCTTTCTATCTTTTTTCTTTTTTTTTTTTTTACTCACTTTCAAG